TTACCGGCCTCAGAAGTTCGCGTGTACGCACTACCGAGGCTTCGTTCGCGTTACTGCCTCCGCCATGGGTTGTCGTGTACGTGTCCAAAGGTTCTGCGGAAGGCTGACCGTCGGCCGAATCCCCGGCTGTCACCCCAGACGCCAGACAGGCTTCCACTTGTTCACGTTCTTCCAGGATCAGTGCCCAGCGCTCTGCACATGTCAGACGATCACTAGAATCCACTAGCGAGTCTTCTAGAGGTCGTGGTAGCACTCCACTGGGTTCTGGGTAGTCTAATCGATCAACTGCCGAAGGCTGAGTGGCAAGCCATTGTTCGTAGATTTCGCATTCACGCTGAAAGAGCTCGCGGTCTCTACAACCTTCGTAGGCCAACACTTGCCAGTCTTGGTACTTCTTGGACTCCAGACGCACATAGCCGTCACCTCGTGGCAAATCCCCATCTGGAATCCACATCGCGATCGAGTCGTGTGCTGGCAGGTACACAGTTCGATCAGACACGTTTGTTAATCGAATGCTCTGAGGCCGTCCACGTCGAAACCTCGTCACTGACGGGATTAGCTTGTTCGTTCGACGAACCCACAGTACGTGTTCTTCCAGCCCGACTTGACGCTTCGCTAGTCGATATTCTCGCCACTCGTGCGCTTGAATGTCCAACCGCTCGGGTGGCCCGGCGTTAATATGGGAGCCGTATTCTTCGCTGTCGATCATGTTCTTGGTCTTTATCAGCGGGATTTGGACTTCGTGCGGTAATTGCACCGCGCCGTGGAACAGGTCCAACCGGATCCCAGCTGGGATCATAAAGTCGGTCCCGAGTACCACGTCGACGCCTGCATTATGCGCCATTACCCACATCTCAAACTCGTACACCATCTCCCATCCGAGCGTAATCTTGACGCACGCTCGCCGCGTCGTAGACACCTTGCCTTCGTTAATACCTTGAATGTCAATGCGGCGTCCGTGATCGGGTACATCTCGGAGTCGCAACATCTTAGCAAAGGCGTCAGTGATCACACTAACGTTCGCTCCTGTGTCGAGGAGAATCCTCGTTCGCTGGTCGTTCACAGCGCCTTGCACCAGAGCTCTCATTCTGATCCGTCGGTCGAATTTCTTGGCCGACCACCACCCCTGTCTCTCGCCAGGGTTCAACTTCATCATCTTGGAGTGACCCTTGGGCTCGTCTCGCGCTGCACTCGAAACCAAGCCGAGCGAACCCTCGCTGGTGCCCTCATCAGCATCAGCACACTCCACTATTTCTCCAACACCTCCACCGAGGATTCTACTCCTCTCCTTTTCATTTTCCGTCGCGTTCACACTTGTTACGTATTTATCAGGCCATTCACTCTGCCCCATGAAAGCAAAGATACACTCTGCTTCCATTGAAGGCTCGGTTAACTGTGGCAGCCCGATAGGGACCAACCCAGTTGTAGTTGGCGGGCTGCCTAGTTTAAATGACGTTCTTGAACGACGGCCTTGAGCTCTGGCGGGAGTTCCTCCTTCGTGCCTTTGGTGCGCACAAATTTGGCAAGGTCTTGGAAGTTGCGGAAAAGTTCGCATTGTCCAGCATCGTGGAGTTGTTTGCAGAACTTGCATCGCTTGTTACAGTAGTGGGCGGAGTGACTCATGCCACCGCACACCGCGCATGGTCCGTACTGTGGGCGTCGGTTGTCGCGGTTGAAGTCACGTCGACCGCGTTGGTCCTGATTGAACCCACGGTCACCACCTCGGCGATCTTGATTGAAGCCATTATCGCGATCAGGCATGTTTCCACGTGGTTGACGGTTGTCTGAACGTGCGTAGGTGCCTTCAGCAGCTGCACGGCGCTCATTTTCGTTAGCCGCGGCGAGGTATCGGTCGTTTTCGTCCAATGAGAAATCACCGTCCGTATTATCAGGCTGAAAGTCGTTGTACTCATCTTGGGCATCGTCGTAAGCGTTCGGATCTTCGTTTGAATACTCGGTGCCTCCCTGAGCAGCTTCACGACCTTCTAATTCAGCTAGTAGGTCGTCCACCGTGGCTTCAATGAGTGTCACTCTTGGTTTGTTGCGGTTGTCATCGCGGCGACGGTCATCACGCTGGTTGTTGCGGGCGTACCCATCGTCGCGTCGCGTATCACGACTCTTGGAGTATCGGTACTCACTGTCACGCTTGGCCATTCTCGCCTTGCCCTTAAGAACATCTTCGATGATCTCTTCGAGCTCGTGAATGTCGGCGACTCGAGCGTGGTAGAGACTCTCCGCTATCTTGTCATCGTCGCATGTTGCCAGGAACTGCTGTACGTGTTCTTTCGCGTCACAACCACTCTTCTCGAAGTGTAGACGGGCGGTCCGAGCTTAGCCATTCAGCCTGTTTATGTAGTCGCACAGATGTTCATTACGTTCCCGCTTGGCGGAGTAGTAACGCGACAGTGCCGTCTGCGCGAACTGCGAGCAGTAGTAGCGGATGAACGCATCGCTCAACAGCTTCCACTTGCGCTTCGTCTTCTTCGGAAGTTGACGGAACCAATGAATGGCTCCGTCCCAGAGACTTAGCTCAAATGGAATGCACCATTTATCGGCATCTGTGTGGGTTCCAGTCATTTCATAGACGAACCCACGGAGCCACTGCATACAGTTCTCGCTCTTGTTGCGAGAGCCTGAGAACGGCGTGATGCGATCCAGCGGTCGGTGCGAAGCCATTTCAATCCTCGGTGTCGGGTCTACGTCGTTCAGCGTCGCCAGCTCATTCATCTGACGCATCAACTCGAGTTGAGGATCTTCCTCGTCGAATGTACGCACCAAAATGTCATCGTCACTGGACGAACCATCGCTGTCGACTTGACGACGTCCGGCACCATCTTTGGGAGCTCGCGCACCGCCTCGGCGACCGAACGAACCCTCGTTACTTGCGTAAATACGTTGCATACGACTCTCCGAACGTGGTGTAACCATGTGCGAGTCTTGAAAGTACGGTGAAGCTTCGGTAGTGCCAAAGGCACCACGCTCAGCTCCACGCTTGGTCGGAGGAGTACGAACGAGTCGTTGGGGCGTCGGCGGCAGTGGAATCTTGGACGGATCTTCATCTTGAATCATCGGTCGACTCACAGGCTGCTTTCCGGCATTGATGCCAACAGCGCCAAACGCCTCCCGAAGCTTCTTCTTCCATTTCTGGAGAGCAGCTCCGGCTTCATGTGGACTCCAATCCTGGAGCGACATCGTCGATGGGTACGTCTCGTTCTCGAACCCCAGCGACAGCAGTAGCGAAACTGAATCCTCGGCGACTTGGCTAGTCGAAACCGAGTTGACTGGGTATTGAAGTTCCTGCGCAAGCGCAGGCCAGTCGGCTTTTTTCTTGGGGATGGGCTTGAACAGCTGCATCCACTCATCATTCTGCATCAGCGCTTGTACGCGGTCGAAAACGCGCTTGGCGGCTGGTGTATCACCGTTGATAGGTGGGCGAGGTGCCTTCAGCAGTGCTGAATGCTTTGCACTCGCCACCGAAGGCTTAGAACCCTCGGTCCCATCGTCATAATCATCATAGGCCGGTTCCGGTCCCGCAACATCATCGAGCTCGTCGGCGAGGTTCCTCGAACGGGACCTGGTCGTCCCGCTCAGCCCCGATGATAGCGTGGCCGTTTCCGGCGTCGCTGCGCCTGGCTCTGGAGCCGGCGTCTTGTCTTCGTAATCTTCATAATCGTGGGCGTCAGGACCGATGTCTGCTTCGTCGTCGAAGCTCACTGAAAGCTCGGTGCCGGCTGCAAAGCGCGCAGCCGGGCTTGAACTCTCGTTGCGAGCCCCGCCAGACTTGGCAGGCGTAACTGGTACCGTCGGTTGTCCTTTCGCCATGTTTCTTGTCTTTTTCTTGTTCTTCTTCTCTTGGTAGCTCGTAAACTGGAAGGCCATACAAACAGTTCACAATGGTCACAATCTGCTCCCGGGTCGCGGCACCAGTTGTGGTGTTGGAAATCCCACGTGAACTCTAGCTACAGATGTAGTTAGGATGTTCCCACAACAATACGTCTACTAGGATAGTAAACGATCGTTCGGGCGGACCTGAAGACCCCAGTTCTGCCCTTGCACCGGGACAAACTGTACCTTGTAACCTACTTATATAGGCCAACCAGTAAAATAAGAACACGCTACTAGCACGAGCAAAGCTAGCAGGTGTTTTGAATCCTCGTGGTCCCAACAGCGGAAGGGTACCAGGCACGGGTAAGCCTTTTACGAGATCACCGAGTGTTCAACACTCGGCTGGAAGAAATAAGAGGGAGGCAATTCAAGCACTCCCAGTCGTGCAAATAGGCAACAATAAGCCGTCACGTAAAACCTCCCGATAATAATCGGCCAATACACAAAGTCTCTTGGCCTCGCCGGATGAACCCTCGCTACAGAGCTTCGAGTTCACCGACAGGCATAACACACTCAAACAAGCTTGACCTGACGCTTACCTTGAAGCCGGACGTCGCTCTGTGTGCTTGAGTGGAAATTCTGTTCCGTATTTAAGCTTACCCTTTCGGGTCTATTCCTAATAAGAAGTCCTAATCAAGTATACAAATATCAAGTGAACAATGATCCGTTATGGATCTTCTTGCATGCCAAGCGTCGTCTGCACTGTCGCATGAGCATCTTTAACGGTCCGCGCCCTGTCCCAGACGGTTAACGTGTCTTCCAAAGGTCGCTGAGTATTCCGCGAACTCATCCCAACCGCCACTGAGGGTTCGTACCGTAGATGGTCCGCTGAATGCGAATCCGGCCAGTCCATTATTAATAATAAGGACAGCCTGGATTCAGTGACATAGGGCCGTATCCGATATTTGTTGAAAACTCGGGTCGAGTCCCTTGCACCTTGGCGTCTCCGTACATCACCCGACCGAGGGTTCGTCGCTTGAACAACTTGGGCGGTGTCACGTCTTTGTCGACGGGTGATAATCCGCAACCACGGAGAAATCACTACACCACACAATACTGACTATACGAGTGGGAGAGCCGATTGGCCGCGCTCGTGGTGGCTGGAAGAGTGATGTCAATTTCGAAGTTTCTGAAGGCTATGCAGTTTTTAAGCAGAAGTGTATTGCAAAATATGCGCTCGTGGCGTCTCCTGAAGTATCAAAAAATTCTCTCGTACTACCAGACGACTCATCCGTTTACTTGCGGCGTGCGAGGAGCGATACTCAAGCCAAGTATATCGAGCTGACGTCTGATAACTTTTTGACAACACTTCAATACCGATGGAAACTACTCACAACCGATGATCTTCGCCACATTGGAGACTTTCGCTTTGACGCGTTCCTCTACGTCAAGCGGGCAGCTCAACCAGAGCAATTTCACCGTGCTACCGCGCGTCGCATTGCCGATGCTCGAGTACAAAGGATAGCTTACGAGACAGCCAATGCAGTGCAGTTTGGAGCAATCACTTCGCACCATCTTGATGTTGTGCATGCAAGAAGACCGGAGTCGACTCCATTTGAAGTTCCCGAGGATAACACAACTGCACAAGCAATGGAATTAGACCGACAGCGAGAGGCTCTGCAGCAGCAGGAAGCCAATGAACAGGCCATACCGGATACAGCAATTGTGAGCATTAGGGTCAATGGTTTATGGATGCCTCTGGAGGTCGACATTCTGTCACTTCGGCGTGCATTACGACTGACAGACCACGATTTATTCTCTCGCGGTATCTACCATCAATTCACACCCACTCAGCCAACCAATGGAATGATGAACGACGAGGACCATGCCGACGACGAGCCCATGAGCTAGAAGAAAACGCGAACTTAGTGCAGCACGAGATGCATGTATCGAATAATATTCATCATTACAAAATTAAGCTACTCATCGTCTGCACTTCTTCGAATTAGATCGTCAAAAACTTGGTCTCTTATTCCAGTAGCCATGTAACCACAGTGACGAAAAGTGCCAAAACAACCTTTATCTTCGAGGAGCGTACACGCTCGCATTGCAACATCCAGAATCTGATCTGGATACAATGGAAAAACGAGATTAGCACGCCTTTGAAGCCAACGTTTTAGAAGGCCAAAGCACGGCTCTATCGGGTTGAGCTGTGGGCAATAGGGCGGTAAAAATATTAGTCTGGCTCCACACTGGTGTATGGCTTCTTGGAGCTCTGGGTAGGCATGGATTTTGGCGTTATCCATCACAACAATGGAGCGAGGAAGAGGCCACGGGTTCAAAGTTGGAATAATATGCTCCACAAACGCCTCGTGGAACTTATCTCGCGTGAATGTTCCTTCAGTCCACTTCCATGCAAAAAATCCTTACACATCAAGCGCGGCTAGAATTAATAGTCGCGTTCCTCTTCGGAACGGCATTTTCGCAATTGCTTGGGTATTTCGTTTCGACCACCCATAGCGTCGTTGAGAATGGCGTCCGTCCTTAGCAGTCTCGTCCAAAAATACAAGTTGCTCTGCAAAAGAAAAAAGTGGAAGAAGGTAGGCTTCAATTTCCGCAGGGACGGCTTCTCGTGCGGCCTTGGACAACACTTTTCGGCTGAGATTAAGATCAAAATTGAGTACGCGACAAATTATCGCTGTCGAGACTGTAGTTATTGCTGGAAAATTCTTGACAATGTGCTCACGTAGCTCTTCGATGAAAAACGTGGGGTGAACTTGTACGTAAGCTTCGACAGCGGCAAGTACGTCAGGTGGCCAGCGTGTGCAGGTCTGACGAGGCTGCTTTTCATTGACAATGCCTTTCTGGAGGAACAGCGCGTATCATCGGCGAAGGGTGCGCTGCTTAGGACCGAATAGATCAGATACGTATACAGTTGGCACGTCGTAGACATGCATCAGTGCCACCGCACGCCATCGAAAGTCATCGCCGTAGGTCATAAAGGAACTTGCAATTATCAAACGTGTCTTTTGGCAACTGTAAGAACTGCAATGTCAGGGGAGGGCTGAGGCTGAGGATGAGGCTGAGGCTGCAAGGCGCTTACTTATACCGTTTTGAAACGGCAAAATGGAGACTACTCTACAAAACTGGCCTGAAATCGCTCTCTCAACCTATTCGCCTAGCACATCTCGCACCATCGTGCTTGCCATATCGGAGCTGCTCGCTATTTTGGACCCCTTATCTCGGGATAAGAGACCTCCGGTTTGCCAAAATGGATGAAAACCACAATACATGTATTTATTATAAGTCGAGCATCAGGCTAAGTGAAAAGGACAAAAGCATTGGAATACACAATACCTCTTGCAGTATATACAATATCCGGTGGACATTACAAAACACAGAAGAATGTTGCCTGTGGCGAACATTCACACAGGAAATGTTGCCAGAAGAAAATTGGGTGTAACAGATATCCCTAGTTTTAAAATAACCCACAGGGTTTTTTTTATTATCTCTACGAGTTGTGGCAGCAATGGATCTCCTTGTTATTGTTAACAATATTTTCGAATAATATTCGAAGAAATATCCACCATAGAAATTACAGCTTGTAGCATGGTGGATATTTCTTCTACGAATTCGCACCGCTCAACGTCGTCTTGAAAAACAGATTTTTTACATTCACCCAGGAAATGTTGCCAGAAGAAAATTGGGTGAAACAAATATCCCTAGTTTTAAAATAACCCACAGGGTAGTTTTTTTTATTATCTCTACGAGTTGTGGCAGCAATGGATCTCCTTGTTATTGTTAACAATATTTTCGAATATACAGCTTGTAGCATGGTGGATATTTCTTCTACGAATTCGCACCGTTCAACGTCGTCTTGAAAAACAGATTTTTTACAAATAAAGGTCACACTCTAGAGTTTCCATTTAGCAACTGCGTCATTTTAGCGCTCGTCTTTGTTTTCTCCACAATCTTTGTTGGTTTTTGGAGGAGATCCTCGCACCGCGGCCCACGCAGTTCAGTAACGGCAACTCATAAACCACTCACAGCTAGAGCCACTAATCTGTCACAGGCGAATTCAGCTCATTAACCACGAATACATCGCAACAAAGTCTGACAATTAAAAAGAAGGTTCGCCTCGACACCGCTCATTTTTATTGAGATTTCCTTAGCGGGACACAAATCGTATCAGTCGTTTTCAAATGTTGACCACGAAACGTTTACCAGGGTTGGATACTGCCGATACGACAATAACCTGCGTCGATGCGTACTTTGCCATTGCACCACGTTTTCAGAGCCAGCAAAAAGATTTGCGCACATTAAAAGCATTAGAATAGAAAATACTTCCACTGCTTGCCCTTTATCAACACGACGAAGGAGTAAATTTACTTTCAACCGAGTTTTTCGTTGCTTTCTTTACCCAGTGCTTCCCAGTTTACTTACAGCACAGGTGAGGAACCTAATTAACTCATTAAAGCTAGTAGCTTTAACGTTTAGACCTCCTAGAGAGAGAGAGCTACGAATCATACATGACTCACTAGCTTTTGTTTCTTTCTCTCCCTTTCTTCTACATCACCCATCTAGAAAGCATCTATACGCACGACTTGCGAACGGCCCAAAATATTGATCGAACTCGTTGATTGACACGATGCCGCTTCGTGGGGGAAGATCAAAATCGACAGATTCATCCGGCGTAATGAGCAAAAAACACATCCGAGCTCTCATTCACAGCTTCTGCTCTCTCTTTGGCATACGTTACTTCGTTAACTCTCTGTTTCGTTTCCTGTGCTTTGCATCGAATCACTTCGTTGCACTGCACTTCTCGGCCGTCGATCGTCAATTGGACTCGCGTAGATAGATCGCAAACGTCTCTTATATACTTCGAATCGGAATTTTGACTCTGTTGAAACAAACCCAAGTGTGCTTTTGGCTCCTTAACTACAATGCCATCGATAGAGCCGAAACGGGCCCCGCGATGAGCCATGGCTAATGAAACTGGAAGGTCACAGTAAATAATCGATTTCACGCGACGATAGAAAGCCACGAATTGATCAAATCGATGCTGACCCCACACAGAGGGAAGGAAGCCATCGATGTCGTAACCTCCATTGAGATGCCTTAGAAGCCTTCGCATCAACGCCACAATCATAATGACAGCGCATTCCAGTCGTCCATCCTGAGTTTGTCGGAACAAACCGATGTTTCGAAGCTCATCGACGGTCAAGTTGGAACGGCCAATGCGCTCGTACACGCCGTTAAAGCGGTGACCCGAAAATATTGCGATTAAAACGTCTTGGCAGGCCATTGGATCGGTAAATTGAGGAGAAGCGAATATCTCACCATATTGACAAAGTAACGCTGCGTACACCTGCTTTACAATACCACCCGGGTCGATATCCTGTAAAGAATCTTTGTGACAACTCAGCACTCGCTCAAGTGTCTCCAACGCTCGGCCATGACCACCCATATCATCTACCAGCTGCTTCCCAATCCTTGATCTCGGCCTTAGAATTTCGTGACCGTTTAATGAAGGAGGATATAGAAAAACTCGCTTCTGTTGGAACTGCATGAATGCTTGAGTAAAAGGCTCTTGAGCTGTTGTTGAGCTCACACAGACAGCAAATGCTGTGGATGAATTCAGGAACATGATAACGCAACTCAGCACACGGTAAAAATCGCAGCCGTACGTGCCGTCGTTCTCAAGTTTATGTATACCTTCCACGCACAACACCACCGTCATATCCCTCACATTGTCGATCTGCTCCAGCTTGGCTAGCATCCTAATTACAGCGCAAATGGAAAGACATATCGATGAACTCGATTTCATTAATCGGAAAACGAATTCCATCCACGATTCATTTTCCTTCAGGAGCTGATAGAGCATTCGAAAGCAGATGTCAACTTCAGGAGAATGAGAGTCAATCAGCTTCCCAGTTGTACCGGTTCTACCTCCGAAAGCCAAAGAAAAAACGTATGCGTTGGTCATTCTCTTGACTAAATCTTGATTCTCGGATTGCTCAGCAGCTTTGCACAATAAATTTTTCATTTCGTCAATCGTACGCGACTTTCCTGTTCCTGGTCCACCCACGACAACATCGAGAGCGTGGTTCTGTTTGTCCTGGTTCCCATCTTGCCAGGCTTGGTAATGCTGGAGGAGAGGACCCGCCAGGTCAGTTGCAATCTCGGATGCTCCTTGGAATGTCCAATGGTCTCCAGAACTCCTACAAAGTCGACTTGGCTCCTTCCATTCTAGAATATTTAAGAGGTCCTGCGTTTGTCGATCCGCTGGACCTACCTTGATAGTCTGCTGCTGCGGCACCTCCACAATAACGAAGAGTGCATCTTTCTTTGACTCACCAAGAGAACTGATCGGATAGTTTTCCTCCAGTTTCCGCGACGTATTACTTGTGTAGACTGTGAGGTTGGACTCGACAGGTAAAACATTTGAGACTACTCCAAGCACCGCCTTTCGGAAACAAGCAACCGTTGCATTATTCGGTACTTCCACTGTAGTTACAGCTACTCCTTTTCCGCTTACTAGCTGGAACCACACTTCACGAGCCATTTTTTGTTTCCTCTTATGCAGTAAATTTAAGAATGGATCAAAACTGCTACTGCAATTGATGGATTGGTTGAAATTGACTTTGTGACATGGCTACATTTTTCAGATAAGAAAAACCGGATATTTTTTTATTTGTTACAATTACGATTCGTAGCCATGCCGTCGGTGGAGGACTGGGCGTACATGGACACCTTACGCCCCCCCGTCTACATCTGTCTGCGTCGCAAGACCGACCTCGTTGACAATGACTATGAGCCCATGCAGCTGGACGGACGGTAGCGTTCAATTCACGACAGCACATATAATATTTAATTTGCTACTACTATTTCCTTTATTACTAAAACTGGCAGCGTGGACAAGGAGGAGTGGGCGCATGTGCCATGGTCCGAGCCTTTTGTGGACATCGAAGGACCAGAGCGCAAACCCAAGGACTTCCCGCTCACGAGGTTCAAAATGATGTACGACGACGACACTTTATACGTGGGGGCAGAGCTCATCGAGTCCAAAATCTGGGGCACTCTCACCCAGAAGAACAGCACCATGTACCACGAGAACGACTTTGAGGTTTTCTTCAATCCAGACGGCAGTCGTCATCACTACTAGTACGTCTACCAATATATATATATATTGTTTAAAAATTAATTTTCTACTATTTTGTTTAAATAGCGAATTGGAAGTGAACTGTCTGAACACGATCTGGGAGCTGCTTCTGCATCGTCCGTACAAAGATGGCTACAGTATTGAAAACCCATTCAACCTAGTGTCAGTACGCTCGGCTGTATTCGTGGACGGCCTGACCAACGCCCCAGAGACTCCGAGTGTGCGTTGGTGTGTCGAAATGAGTTGGTCACTCGCCGAACTTCAGCAATTTAACAAACTACGTTTCCGTCGAGACATAGATGAGCCGTTAAGTAGCAGAGCTCAGTCTGAAAGAGCGTCAATTGCCACTCCCAGACCCCCATCGGGGCCTGGGAAGACAGCGAGACCCGCCGTGACGACTGGCAAAACTCAAGCGGGAGACGTGTGGCGTGTCAATTTCTCACGTGTTCAGTATGACCTGGAGACTGTTGTGGACGTCGATACGAACCAGTTAAAGTACCAAAAAGTGCCTGACAAGCGCGAAGACAACATCGTGTGGGCCCCCACTGGTGTGATCGACATTCATCGACCCGAGAGATGGGGCTTTGTGTTTTTTAGCAGTGAAAACGAGCTGCCTGGCGGGGAATTGGAGCTCGCAAGTGCCATGACGGGGTTCTTGGAGGCGCAAATGGCCATAGAGCGCGTTCTGGACGCTGTTTACTACCGACAACGAGCGTTCCGTGCGTCTCACGGCGGCTATGCGTCGAGTATGGAGATGCTGTACACTGAGTCTTCGTCGGGCCTTCAAGGTGACGATAAAAAGTGGTTGAACGCCTTCCCACACAGCGAGCTGCTGCGTCGATACGAACTCGACTTTCCTGTGCTCTCGTGTCGTAGCGATCTCGTTGACAAGGATGAGCTAAGCGGTAGGAACTCTAGTCGACGTTACGCTCCTGCGTTGGATCAGCAGGATGAGCACTTCGATGAGAGGACTTTGGTGAAGAACTTTGTCCCTCCACCTCCTCCGGTGTTGAGTCCTCGATCGCAGGAGATTACGAACCTTGAGAGCTGTGGACTTTACTCGAACTACACAGCGATACTTCGTAGTGCAACGCAGACGTGGAACATAAGTCAAGACGGCCGTCTGTGGCGCACACCATGAATAATTAACTTAGACACTACGAGGTTAATATTAATACGGACAGTATGGACAACACGTGAGAGAGAGAAAGAAGGAAGAAAACGTAACCCTTTTATGTCTTTAGCTGCTGCGTAGAAGTACCACAGGAAAGAAAAATCTTTCGAATCTTGATCTGGATTTACAATCCTGGTCTATCTCCAGTGAACTTATTGCCGCAGCTTGCCGACGATTCCTGACCACCGACGTATCCTGGAACCGTTGACCAAAGCCGGTGAGCTAGAACAGGGTTATTGCGAAGACAAGGCTATATTGTATTGCTAATTGCTAACTGAAAGATGACGCACTCAAAATGATTGCAAAGTTTGATGGTGACAAACTGCGATGTCCATAAACCAATAATTGAGACTTCACATCGTCGAGCTGGTAGAACGTGCTTCCCTGTAGAAAACAAAGCAACGAGGAAGTGCTTTTTGATCGTCACTGCCATCTCTCGTTTGCTCTGAGTCCACGTACCAGTCACGAATTCTGTTGAAAATACAGATGCGAAATTTGAAGATCTTTGTAAACGTCCGATCCATTAACTACTGATTTGTGCGATCGTACTTAGGTTCGTAAGCTCCATTTTCACGGCGCACTACTGTTCTTCACATTTTATGATGAAAGCACCAAGGAAGAGAATTTGGGTCCAATTAATGGACGCTGAGTCCCATGAGCCGTTCATGGACACAGCGACATACTTGGTGACATTACCAGAGCAGGTCAGTGACTTCGCTGAGGTTGGTCTTTGACAAAATACCCGAAGGAAAGGACGTTCTCGGTCACGTGAAACCTAACGAGCTGCATTTGTACGCCAACCGAGACTCCTACCACCGCCATGAAAAAGCATTGGTTGGCGATACGGGAATCGCAGAAATTTGGTACTACTGGGAAGCAAGCTCTGGTCACCGAAGTGCCACCAAGACGCGTATCGCTTGACGAACCGGACGCTCCAAGGATATATAACACTATGATCAAGTTCTCCTCTGGTAACGATGAAGGAGTCCCCTCTGACTTCAGAGCGCTTCGATCTGATACCGTCAAGAGATGCTATGACCTGCTTCCTCCCTTCACCGTGGAGAACGTATCCCCGATACTTGCCATCTGTGCACCGCCGACGTTGGGTAGGACCGCCGTACTTCACCCTCTTCACAATTCGCTCGAATCCGGCCACATACGTCGCGTATCTTCAAGCTGACAAAATGATTTTATGTCGGACTTCTTTAAGCAGATCTACGGTCACAATTTTGAGAGGTTCTGTTTCAGCGAGTACAAAGTCGTGGAGCTGGTTGACGGAGCGGAGAACACGTTCGACGACCGCGATTTCTGGCGTGAGTTTGTAAAAGGCGTGCTAGCAGGATTCCGATTCGTGCTTTTCACCTCGTATGGCGCCCCTGTGACTTTCTTAGACTGGGGTAAAGTGGTGTTTCGATGAATATCTCTCCAGAGACATAGATTGAGACCTGGTTTGGCGCTTTTAAGCAGATGTAAAAAAAAAGACTCACCGAGTCAATGCATTATTGGTTTTGCAAGTTAAGTTTTTATTTTGGTAGCTGACCTTGACAATTCAAAATGATATTGGACCAATTATTGACAATAAAATGGCAATCAGATCCGATGACATCATTTTTGTGGTCAACCCACCCATAATGCTCAGACTTGCCGGCAAGCCACGTAAAAGCAAACGAAACACAAATCCACGCACTTGCTTACGCCGAACAGCAAAAGTAGATGCAAAAAGGGTCTACATGACAGCTTGGAGCAAATTTTTAAGGAACTGGAGAAGGAAGCAGCTGAATTGCCCTGTTGTCAGTCTTTCTGTCTTTCTTGGAGGCTCTCCAGGATAACACGGACTCAGAAGAGGACACTTCAGAACTCGTAGATGACCCCGACTTGTATGTTGCAGATTGAGTATACGCTAAGAAAACTAGTCAAGATGACCAAGACCACATCTTGGCTTCCTGGATGGGTTTTTAAGAATTAACCTGGCAGCCGTCGTCAGACCTACCAGAGAACATGCTAACGACTTCAAATAATGAGGAGCTTGGCGTGGCTTGGTCAGTTGACTATCGGGTCAGCATACTCACGGGGGTCATGGCTGGCACAAGAGTACACTGTAGGGCAAGGCGTAGCTAGATATTGCTCCAACTTATTTAAATTACGGCATTTTTATTATTGGAAGTGCTTAAAACGGAATTTTTATTACGGCAAAACTTTACAATACAGTGTGATGGGTGTCTGTCACACGGTTGCCATCATGAGTGCACGATGGACAATCAGATCCCAAGACTATCGCTAATGACTGTGACGGCCTTCGTGCCGTTACGCCCATCAATCAGAGTTTAATTTACCTGCTTCCTTTCACTACAGTGTGTGCTTTGTAACGGGTTGCATTTAGCCCGTTACACTTTGTAATCCTCCCAACGCCAAAAGATGAATGACACATCGATGAATGACGCGCCCAATATGACCGCCACATCGCTCGAGCATATCAGCTTCCCTCATCTCTCGTCGGTCGAGTGGGAAGCGCTACACCGCCTCGCCGCTGCATCCGGCGAAGCCGTCATCCAGGCGCTACTCACAGCCGGCTCGGAAGCCCAACAACACCTGGCCACCCAGGAGTTCATGGCGCGTGAGCTTGCAGAACTACGTCGGCGAGTGTCGACTCCCACGCCGTCCAAGAATCAAACCGACATCGTCAAGCTCGATGCCTCCACCTACAGTGGCGAAGGCAACAGCCGCCTTCACTTAAACCGGTGGTTCTGCGAGGTTGATATCTCAGTTGACGCTCGGCAGCTGTTCACCCAGCTTGCGAGGACTCGCTTCCTCCTCTCCAAACTAGGTGGCAAAGCGAAGGAGTGGGCGCTCGGTAACCTCGTCGCTGACTCCGCTTGCTTCCCAACCCAACGATGGCGTCAATGAAAACCGATCTACGGCTCGCGTTCGAGCCTCAACAGGACGAGACGACTCAACGGCCCACTTTCCTGTCCCTGAAGCAGGGACGCTTGTCCATGCTCGAGTATACTCAACGAGCACGCCACCTCGTGTCGTGCATCACAGCTTACCCCGTTAACATGGCGACTCAGGTCCACGTCTTCGTCTCCGGGATGAACGCTGGAGACTAGCGTTTCTACTTGACGAGGAAGCCCCGAGCTCTCTCGAAGAAACCTTCGCGATCGCTTTACGCGAAGACTACAGCGTCACGGCGCCGCAAGCATTCGACGTCTCCAGGCCTCTAGTACCTGAGCCTGGACCAGAACCGATGGAAGTGGACCTATCCAGTATTATCGCGACCGTCCTGCTCCGGTGTCGTCGACTCCACCTCGACCTTCTGCACGCACACCGCGTCCGTTGCGTTGCTTCCGCTGCAAGAAGCCTGGACACCGTGCGGCAGTGTGCCTCGCGCGGGCGCCGGTTGTGGCGAACGTCACCTCTCTGGACGACGTCGCCGTTGCTTCAGCAAAACAACGGCGACGGCCAGTAGGTGCGGGGCGCCCTACTGGATCTAGAAGGGGGGATGGTTCTCTGATGGCGGAACCTCCTCCTAGCCCTCCTGTGCTCCGTGCACATCTATCGGCCACCACCTCCGGCAGTGACTCGCGAATGATCGTGGTCAGTCTCCACGTTGAGGTAGCCTAACGTCCCATTCGTGCTCTGCTGGGCTCAGGCGCGACGAACAACTTCGCTGGCTCCGAGTGTCTGTCAATATTACCGGCGGACACGCTTGTAAGGGAAGGTCTCGGCGATATGATCGTCAAGTACGCAGACGACAGGCCGCGGCGACTACCACAGCGCTCGATCACCTTCTCCTACGAATTTGATGGTTTCCAGGGATCCGATGACTTCCTGGTGATTGAGCTAAGCGGTTCCTTTGACTGTGTGTTCGGGATCCCGTGGCTTGCTTGTGACCAGCCTCACATTGACTGGCTAGCTCGAACTGTCCGTCCATGTGATATCGACGTGAACGCTGTGTTGGCATTCCTGAGCGGGACGCCCAACCATTGGCCGCATGTTGCAGTCATGGACCCCGACGCCATGGCTACTGCTACTTCTGAAGTGCACGATGGCCCTTCGTGTGCGGTTTGTGAGTGCGCAACCTGTGCCGGTCCTGAGGTGGAGACTCAGGGCATCTCTGACATGGTCGAGCATGCGTTCCCGTATCGCCGTGGGCAACCGCTCACGTCGAACGACGACACAATGGTTGAGCAAGGCCTCCTACACGCGGTTGAGCATGGGCTCCCGCGGGTGGTTGAGCGGAAACTCCCACAACAAGCAGACGTGGTTGAGCATGGCCTCCCACGCGCGGTCGAACAGAGGTTCCCGCGGGTGGTCGAGCGGGAACTCCCACACGGAGAAGCGAACGTGGTAGAGCGTGGTCTCCCACTGGCGGTCGAACAGAGGTTCCCGTGGGTGGTCGAACGGGAGCTCCCTGGCGAAGAAATTGTGGTAGAGCGTGAACGCCCACTTGCGGTCGAGCGTTTGCTCCCGCGTGTGGTAGAGCGGGAGCTCCCTGATGTAGACGAAGACGTGCTCACCCTCAAGCACCCAGTGCCTCACACCTACTGACGCGATCGAGCGCGGCATCTCCTTGTCAGCTCGTGGTGGCGATACTCGCCTTGTTCGTCGTCGCGTTCGTCGGAATCCGCGATGTTCTCGCGCAGCCTCGATGGACTCAGCCCCGTCTGGGTCCGAAACCATCTCGGTCCTGATGAAGGACGACACACTCGGGGCTCCCCGAGTACACGATGCCGAGGTCGCCTGACCCCCGTGCGACGCGACTGAGATCACTCGATTGCCTGGTCTCTCGTGGAAGCACTTCCTCCACGACCTGAAGCACGGTGAGATCGAGCAAGTTTGCATGATTGTGGCGGACGGCTCCGCCGCCATCGCGGCAGTAACTGAATTGGCAGAATCGGCGTCCGACGATAGGATGCACCCACATCAAGCAGAGCCGAAGACGGCCCGGAAGGCGCGATACGCCGCTCAATCATTGCCGGCACTGGTGGTCGTTGGCAATCCAGTCGCCCCTCTTGTTCGTGAGCTTATTGACATCTTCCCCGACAAGGTCCCAGCTGTACTCCCTCCCGATCGTGGTGTGCGGCACGAGATCGATCTTGCGCCCTGAGCGAAGTATTGTGTGACGCGACAGTGGCCGCTCCCCCGCGACCAAGTTGAAGCGACCGACGCCTTCTTTGCAAGCCGGCCATGGCCGTGAGAGTCTGTCGCCGCACTCCAGCCCGACCTTATGTGTGAAGAAAGCAACCGGCGGATGGCGCATTGTCCACGCCTTCAACAAGCTCCACGACGCCTCCATATCGGCGGATGGCGCATTGTCCACGCCTTCAACAAGCTCAACGACGCCGCCATACCGACAGACTCCAATCCCTCGGAAAGACATGGTGCTGGACTCCATGGCAGGTAGTACCACATACAGCGCCATTGACTTGATGGATGATTTCGATGCGTGAAGGGGATGTGCCACTGACAGCCGTCCGCACGCCCAGCGGCATGCTCTGGGAATGGCTGGTTATGCCGCAGGGCTGAAGAATGCCCCTGTCACTTTCAATCGCTTGGTATCGAATTTGCTGCGACCTTTCCGAGCCGTCGCGCCTAGCTACTTTGGTGACATCTTCATCCACAGTTGTGCCGACGGCGGCAAGACGGACGTTGAAGTACACTTGGGGCACCTCCGTCAGGTGCTCGTCATGACGCGAGAAAACAAACTGTACGCCAACTTGAAGAAGTGCATCTTCTGCGCTCCCGAGATTCCCGTTCTCGGGAGCTACGTCAGCAAAGATGGCGTCCGTGCCGACCCAGAAAAGGGTTGAGGCGATCTGCGCTTGGCCGACGCCACAAGATCAGAAGCAGTTTCGCCAGTGGCCGGGGCTTGCGACCTATCTCCACCACTACTCGAAGAACTTTGCTGCGACGATTCGCCCATTATCGCAGCTCCTAAAGGAAGGCGTCACGTGGTCGTGGTGCTCCGAGCACCAGGCTGCGTTTGACACGGTGAAACGGAGCCTTTCCTATCGCACTACGCCCTACCTTCTACGTCGGACGACTCCGACGTTATCACCAACCCGCCATCCCTAGCGCCCATGGTACCCCCGCTCCTCCGCCTCCCACCGATCATGAGGCCCCCGCTCAAGACGCGGAGGCTCCTCCAGCTTTCGGCGCAACTGCGCCTCGCGCTCCAGACGGCTCAGCCGCTTCCCTGCGCGCTGCTGGCTCCGAGCGGTCTCGGTCTCCTCGCGCTGGCCACGCTGCACGGTTCCAGCGTGACGGTCCTGCACCCCTCGTTGATAGTGCTGGCCACGTCCGTCATATCGTGGAGGCGATCTTGGGGCACGACGAACACCGTGCCACTCCCCAACGTACGCGTACGGGTCGTGGGTCTCACGCCCGCGCCGTTCCTATTCCTCCGCACGGCCAGTACCTCGAGCGTTGGCTTGGCCCAATGCACGATAGTTGGGAGCCTCATCGTTGCTTCTTGATGACGTTCCGGACTGCGTGACGGCGTACGAGGCAACCGCTCCAACGGCGGCAGGTCTTCCGGGTGGCGCGGCGGCCCGCCACGCCTAACATCGCTCAGGGCCCTACGGTATTGCCCAACAAGGTTTTGCTTCGCCTCAGAGACTGGATACTCTGAGACTTCCTGCTCCCACGCACCCTGCCTGGGTCTCGGGCGACCATTCTCCGTACACCAGGTGCACCCACCGGCGTAATGCACATAACAGCCGATGCGGTCGGCGTCATACGCTACGTTGTGAATCCGCCTTGCCAGCGCGCTCACCGAGCGCTCTTCATGGTCCGTTTCGCGTCTTTCGAGGGAGGGGATGAATCTGACGGCGCCTTCTGTGTTCCAGCGGCTCACGAAATACGTCCACGCGTTGTCCAGCAAATTTGGTGTCACGGTTCGTGTCACCGCGACAGGCTTCCTACGCGTACGTCGGTGTTTCTGGAACAAGCTCAGCATCTCATCGTCGCTCAGCGGCTCGTGCAAGCCGCTGCAATCGTACACAGCTCATCTTCCCAGCTTCTCCGCGTACGTGTCGAAGTCCCCTACTGTTGGTACGGGTCCGTCCGTCGTGCCCGCTTCCCCACCAGCGTCTGCCATTGATCCAGTAATCCAGTCCTGTTGTTCTCCAGATCAGCTTGCTGAGTGACCGCAACCGTAGCGGCCACGTGCGTACCTTCGAATCTTAGTAGGGGGTAGTGTGACGGGGCTCTGTCACACGGTTGCCATCGTGAGTGCACGGTGGACAATCAGATCCCAAGACTATTGTTATTGGCTGTGACGGCCTTAATGCTGTTACGCCCATCAATCAGAGTCTAATCTACCTACTTTCTTCTTACTACTGTGTGCTTTGTAACGGGTTGCCTTTAGCCCGTTACAATACAGTATTAGCTGATTTAGACATTGCGGTAGCTTTATTTCTGTCATACTGATACAGCTGCCTCTGTAGAAACTCGTGATGTATTTTCCGACCTCTGTTTTCAAGGACGGAACTGAGGGAATTGGTGGGCATCTGGTTTGGCGACGAAGTGTGTGATTCTATCTAGAAATTTAGCTCTGGTCACGCTGGAATAGCTCGCGCGCTTTCGTATCTTATAAAAGCGATTGGCATGGCGTATCAAGGGTCTCAACTACAGATCGAGCTGGTATTACGCTTAACGAGGCAAATCGAATACATTTGTCAGATGTGTGGAGGTATACCTACCGATGCAGCGACTGATGAGATGATATCGACCAATAACATGTCGGTTAGTGTGGTGGGCGATATTCAGGAGAAAATGGCGTGTGGAGAGAGCGTCGATAGTGGGACGTGATCCTGAAACTAATCAGGCTGTGATGCGTCTGACTCGGTACGGTTTCCTTTACGCCAATCAGACCCAGAAGTTACAGTTCGCCTCTCCAATGCATCTAGATATCTGGCTGTCTACAAACCGTTCGAGGTCTCTTGCACATTCGCTTTTAGACGCCCCAAAGTTGTTTCACGAAGGGCTGATTAAGGCAGTTGAGTTCTGCGCAGCTTCGGCTGATCGTGTTAGGACAGATAGCCATATTGGCTAATCAGTTTTAAGAGGCGTTTTTCACAGCTGCTGCATCATGTGTGTAATACACTTTTTGTGTATTTCAAAATATAAGACCGACTGGTGTACATCCTGCAAGGCTATTGTTACTGCACACCCACGTAAATAAAGCCAACGGTGGTCAGCAAAGAGAGCTTAGCACTCTTGCCGCTGGTACGCGAAAAATAATATCAGATGAAAATAACATTCTAATAAAATTAGAAAGTATTTATTAAATATACATTAAGGAATATTTTAAATTCAGTATTTTTGTCGTCTCTTACTGAGAGGACATTGCTGGTATTTAATTGCTTTTATGGCGACTGCGCCATTGATGTATGACCTACTGGACAATGCTATGATTACCACTTCGCGTTTGTCATCGCTTTACATGTATTAATGGCCCGGTCGGGAGTTGTCAGATAAGCTTCCCATTCTTTCGATATTCAGTCTCATAGGAGCGGACCACCAAAAATTGTACCAGAGTGGATTTAACAAAAACCTTCTATTGATCCGCAAAAGAAACAACATTTAACAAGACTGATGATACAGTAGTCATATTATTCGCTTACTGTAATCGCGTGATTCCACATAGTGCTTGTTATCACTTGACATTCTCGCAGCGCCGTGCTACGTTATCTCTAAAATCATCAACCATGATGTTCGAACGTGATGCTTGTAGGTCCTCGTATTTTATACTCCCTCTGTAGTGCGTTGAACGCTTTCAGGTATTCTTCGTACAGTTCCGAGTTCCTCTTAAAGAATTTCAATAAGCACGCAGTGTCTTCGATTTAGTGAGCTTTAATGTCAAATTGCTTAGCCAGCCCCTGAAGTGCATCGGCAGTAGCCGGGTAGTAGGCATCGTGGGTCCTCGCAAGACGTTGGTTGACTTAGCTCGAGCCCACGAGGGCAGTGACGAATGTAGCAGCAATCATGACGATGACGAAATATAGACGCATGAGTAGCCTAGTTTCCGAGGGGTCGTGTCACGATGTGGAGTCGATGATCCTATCAGAGCTTGGTCGAGGTATTTTACTTGGTGGTAAAAAGATAAGTGGAGCTGAGCTTTGGAATTGTAGGTAGTTAGAATAATGTGATAGTTACTGTATCTTGACGGAACGGTAATTCACCATGTTGACGGGACGGTGTTTATATACTGGGACGATGGAACGCTATTAATACGTCATGAAGCGCTCCATCATAGCTATTTTATATGCAGTGATGTATCACTGCATATCATGTAGCTCCATCATTGCTGTTTTATATGCAATGATGATGGAGCGCTACATCATGTAGCTACATCATGTAGCTTTCCATCATCCCTGCATGCAAAACACCGTCCCGTCAACATGGAGAATTACCGTTTCGTCAACAAACATGTTTTTTTAGTACCGGTACGTGTACTGTATTCTATCTCTGGTAGTGCTACCTACGAGTAGTAGAACGTATAGCCTTATAGGGTTAATTCGAGAATATGTACAGACTCCAATAGTAGGTATTGATTCAATACAAATTTTAAAGGAGCGGGTCATATTTTCGCACCAATTTGAATAAAATTCACAGGTTTCACTCCGGGGAAAAGGTTTCACATGAATATAAACTTATATAATCTTGGAGTACTAAACAAAAATTCTTCGACAACTTCTGGAAATGCTGGTGCTTCGTTCGCCTTCTACCTCACCGATGCTCGAAGTCAATACGTTTTGGGCATTTAACTGCTGCCTCGATAACCTATCCTCTCTCCGTATCCGCGCTCACGAACCTACATGTAATATTTACTACTTAAGTATAGCTCTAAAAAGTTAAGAGGGAAAACATGCTACTGCCCCGAACCCACTTGCATCTTCGAGAAACCAGAACAACCACATTTACAAATTCCGATTTGATTTTGTTAAGTAGCTACCGTAGGAGAGTGAAAGAACAACTCGGTCCTTCACGGTAAGGCACCGTATAGGACCTCATGGTTTTCCCTCACCCGGTGAGGGAAAACCATGACCAACCACAGCGATGGTTACTCTCGACGATAACCTGTTCACAATACTACTACGCACAATCCTACACTCACCATCTAGAAAAGGATATCGCTGAAATCCAATTACGCCGACCTACTACTGCCGCATTTCTCATTCCGCAATTTTCCTCCGGCCTTAAGACCCTTCCAGCCATGCGTCTTTTCAACATGACCCTTGTGGTTCTTGCGACCGTCCTCCTTTTAAGTGGCACAGCAGTGTCTAATGCCGATCGGGCCAGTGTGCTGAACGTGGACGCTGTTCACTCCTCGAATATTCTCACTGCCGAGGAAAAGAGATTTCTTCGAAGTCACCAGACGACGGATGACGAAGGCGAAAATAACGAGCACGTCGGGGAAGAGAGGGCTGGTGGGGCTAATTTGCTCGCTGGGCTGAAGCTGCAGAAAATGGGGCGCGATACATCTTACCGCGATAAGGTGTTCCAGCGTTGGAAAAACTATGGGAAATCCGTGGAAGATGTATCAGACCATGTGCCATCATCTCTCACACAAGCGTTCGAAATATACTTGAGAATGCGAAAGAATACGGGGAAGGTGTACACTCGTCCCCACCGCCAGATCAAACCACGTTAGGCAGGGGCTCTATCACCTTGCTGCTTTCTACGTATCTGGGCAACTAGAACGCAGTCAAGAAGAAGAAAAATCGTCTATTGTTAGTTCATAACACAGATAGAGGTTTTCTTTACACGACCACTGTTAAAAAAAGCTTTTTAAATCGACAGAACTATATCTGAAAAAATTGAACGTGTATATTCTCTTTAGAAAGATATGCAATAAGACAATAATCCAGCGTAAATATTGGAATCATCCCCATCCATATGTCGTCATTGTAGTCTAGCTCAGCCCCCCCCTCTTCTTCTCTTTGTCCTCAGCCATTTTCATGCCCCTCAGTCGGAAAATGCGAATATGATACTTCTAACAGCCTCAAGCAGTCTTCTCTCTCTGTGACGCATACGGCCATATACCGGGTTCCTGGCAACCAGCTCATTCTAAGCCAAGCTGGTCAGATCGCTCACACCTTCGGACAACAACACGCATTCTTCATACACCTACTGACACCCTTTTACACGGTATCACATACCAGCCCAACTCTCTCGTAAAGAAAATGCCATTAACAGGCACGTTTTGCTGAATTTGTTTTTTATTCTCGACAGTTTTATACAATAGGCTTAGTGAAATTTTAATTTAGCAAGCCTTGAATGAATTTACGGTTAGGAACACTAATTTATAAATTAGTGCTCTTAACCCCGTGATTTTGTTTATCTAATTTCAATTGGATAGTAAATTTAAATAGCATGGGGTTCTACACCGCAATTAGTGAAGTATGCATTGCATGGCATAACTCCGATGCGATCCACTTATAGTAAGGTGACGTTTGTTTTACCGAGGTGTGTGTAGTGAAAGTCGATGACTGCATTCGAAGTAGCTAGATTGAAAAAAAGAAAGAATTTAAGCTACGTCAAATTACTGTGAATGCAGCTATCGGCTCTTACTTTATGTGTAAAATACAACCCATACCAACTGCGAATCCACGGGATTGCCATCCCGCAACCGCACAGTACAAGCTCTGTATGTCATCCGTGCTCCGTCGGTCAGTACTATTTTGTCTTGCTTGAATTGTTTGCCAATTGTGCTCCGTCGGTCACTACTATTTCGTCAAGCTTTGACTTTCCAAAATCGCATCCAAATACATCCTGAAACTTTCTAGCAAACGTTTGTCATACTGTATATCAGCACCGTTTTAGGCATGTACCTGGGACCTCAGCGACAAGCAATTCGACAAACGTCCTTCCGTACGCCCCGATCCTTTCTGTCCATTCAGCAAGTTACAAGATACTAGCGAACCATTACGTAGCAGACCTCAGTCTGGAACTGCGTCAATTGGCACTCCGAGACCTCCATCGGGGCCTAGAATGACAAAAAGACCAGGAGTGACAAACAATAGCTGGAGACACGTCCTAGGAATTCAGCCGCTTGACTCGTTCAATTGACCCTTGTCTACGGAACAGCACGGGAAAACCGCGCTCGTATCGACGCAGCTCCTTGCTGTGTGGGAATGAACACTAAATCACATCTCAGGACTCTGGTAAAGGGATTTGCCTCTCCATCTTCACCGGTGCTAAATCCTTGGTCTCCATTACCGGTACTATTCGAACCACACCGCTGCAGTTCGTCGTGCGACGTGGAACACACGTCAAGAGCGTTTGTGGTCGACATCGAAAACTGCTTTTGACTCCGACACGTCGATTACTGTACTTAAGCTTGAATTACACGATACGTTAGAGTGGGTTGCTCATTTTTCAGAAGCCGATCTCGTCTCAACAATCTTCGATTGTATCTTTTTCTTACTACACAAGTCAAGTCGATTCGCAGGATTTTTGAGATTTGGATTACATGGGAATAAATATTCTAAAAACAATTGACTAAATGCTTCATAGAAGTATGTAAGGAACACTAATGAATCGTAAAGAAACAGTTTTCAGAATACTGGTCAATGATGATGTCGTATAATGGAGAAAGATGTGGTAGCACTCATACTGTTGCCAAAATTTGTACTCAACGACTGCGCCCGTCAGTTGGCTCCACTTGATGAGATTCCGGAATTCTCCTTCCTCACCAAATTGAAAAATGGTGTACCATCCAGCTCTGCCACCCGCAACCTTTGCCATGGTGCCATTGAGGATATCCGATGTCTTGATTGGGATACTGACAAAGTACCCACCACCAAACGTCGACGCTGAGATTGCTAGTATTGTCGGGTTAGCTACAGCAGGATTGCTAAGCCACACAATCAAATTTGCCCAATTGTGCCGAATTCCCTCTTCGCCTTCACTCTGTACGCGTACACGATGACCCACTTGCCTCCTAACCTCGTCGATCGGCTGTACACTTGCGACCCCAATGCAGAGCCTGCATAATCAGGTTAGCTATTTATCGGGTCGGATACTGGTAAGGCATGATGCAGAGGTCAGGTGCACTATCCGACCTCATTACCAGGTCTGACCAGACACCAGACCATGCAAAGAAAGCAAATATATTGATGTTAGAAGCAGCAAATATAAATTGTTGACCGTCTTGTGACTCCTACCACACTTAGACAACTGCTGATGGCACCCCATTCTCAGCATATTCGCCTGCATCGGTTGGAGCGCTGCGGTCGCTGCTGCTATCAGCACCACTGTCTGAGTCCTGCATTGCTTCGTCACCTTCGTCGGAGCTGGAGTCGTCAGACTTCGTCGGCAGCTCAACCTCCCTCGGCAACTGAATCGTCTCACATTGTATTCCACGAGCACGTCTACCTCGTACAGAAGCTAGTAAAGCAGCCTGCCCTCGCGCGAGAGCCTCGATTGTGGCCACAAAAATCGCCACACTGGGGTGAGGTGTCGAAAAGGCAGCGTTAAGCTCCCTATTCAAGCGCTCTAATGGGTTGTTTGTGCGAGCAATAAGTCGCTCCGTTAGCCCATGCACATTCCAAAGGGCAAGGTCATAGATCTCAAGCCAAGTGCGCTTAGAGTAACGCCAGAACATATTCCACCTCGAGCGGTTGTAGGAAACTCCACCATTTTTACAGCGTTCCTTAATTTAACACTTCACCGACCGGATACCAGCACCGTCAATTTACTTTATAGGAAGAACAGTAAGTATGTCCAAAACGCCCATTGTTATCGCTATACTAGCCGATCGGTTTGATATACCGATTTTTCGCATTTTCCTGCGGACAGCTTGCTTAAAGTGAAATAAGCAGCCAACGACATCGGCGCTGGGGAATTGATCTCCGACAGAGTCGATGAGGGCTCGTTCGAAGTCGCAAAAAAACTCAGTGGGCTCGAGTTGGTGATCAGCAGCTTGCCGAATGAGATGGAACATGGCGTTGTAGTTATCCCGGGTTTTAGCACGTGAAACACAGGCACGTACTTGCCGGACGACCTGTCGTGTACCATGACTACAACGCATTGTTGGAACCCGCGCGGCACACACCGGAAGGTGCCGTCGACAAAGAGTGACGTGCTAGCATATTTCAACAGAGCGATCAGCTCGGGGTGTGCCCACCCGATAATTCTGCTTGGTTGCTCGCTGCCATTGAAGCCACTGATATAGTGAAATTGAAAGAAAGTTTAATGGTAAACCACTGACACGTGACAAGGGAGACACCTCAATGCGACCGTGTATACTACCACCAAAGTGGCGAGTACGTACACAGTACGCTCGGCTTAGCACCTGCTCTCGCGTGAGTCCAATCAAAGCCTGGTTCGGGGCTTCGCCATAGAATTGCTCCTTGACTCGAAACCATATAGACGCAGACAAAGCAACATTGTTGTGAGAAAGCTCGTCAGCTGCAGCACGCATTGGTTCCAAAATATTCACTGTTGGGGCTGCGACGATGTGACCATCTTGGCAAGTATGCTGGATAAAGTTTCCGTATTCCATCGAGGCAGCCAAGAACTCAACTTTACCCATGCATCCATTCTCACGATAGTAACTACACCGATATACTATTTTCCGGCGTGACGACCACGCGCGTGTATACTGGTACCGGCCGATGTTTATAGAGCTTGTATTGCGTTTGTGGCGAGTAGCAGCCGTGTGAGGCAATCGCGTTGGCGTTTGACTGTCCTGCTCGCCGCGCTAGCTGGGGATGTGTTTCTCGCTGCAGGTTGAGGTGAGGCGCTGCTGGAGGGCTCATGTGGCTGTGAGATGGCGTGGAGATAGCGGCTTGCGCTGGTTCCGCGGGTTCCGGGTCGGCAAAAGCCATGACGCCCCGACGAGCTGTTTGAGCTCGTTGCTTCTCGAGCTAGCTGGAAAAAACTGAAATGGCAAGAACCGACTTTGGTAAGCTGATGGTGGTGACTTACCAAAGTAGTAGATTTGGACTCCAAGGGTTTCCTGATAATAGCAGTTTCGTAGCGGATACAAGCCGAGTTCGGCTACTGCTGCTCCGTTAGGTGATGGTGGTTACCTGGCAGAATGGCTGGCTTGGGCCCTAGCGGTTTCATGATAATACGAGTATCGCAACGGATACAATTCGGGTTCGGCAACTGCTGCTTCGTAACGACCACATACCTTTATATCAGACCAATTCGAAAGTCGTAGATGGATTGGCTGTCAAACATCGGAATCCACTATCAGGCCGGACCCGTATCCGACCCATAACATTGTCTACCCATAATCTTCACCGGGTGACCCCGTTCCGCTCAGGCCGGCACTCGTATCACCGGGAGCATTTACGACAGGATACGGATGACACCCAGATTTAACGGCAAGTGAAGACTTGAACTTGACGGCAGCTTTCTCGGCGTCAGTGATCGGGTCGGGTTTGCCCGAACGGTTGTACCTTGCCGTAATCGATCAACGCAGTATTGATATTGGTGATGTCAGCAGCAGCGATGAGGACCAACATCCGCATTTTGATAGAGCTGTTCATAGGCGTAAAACTGAGTTGACGCAGGCAAAGATAGTACCGTGCCTTGCACTTTCATGGTCCCTGATCGCTATGATACTACCAAGGTTGGGTATTTAATGGCAACATATGAGACCGCGTGAAACATAAGTATACTAATCAACCTAGGTACGAA